CGAAAATTGATGGGCTTGCCCATCCCGGAGTGGTTCGATCCCACATGAATCCGAGACGGTGATGGGAGGCGTCTCGGTCTCAGACCCAGTGAGGTAGTGCGCCAGACTACCCCGGATCCTGCTGAACAAGCTCCTCTTGTAGCTCGATCGGTCACACCGCCATCACCGTCGGGGAGAGGGGGGACGACACTGCTCTGGCGGCGTGCACCTCGATCCTGCACCGTGTTTGTTATGACCCCCCCCCAATGAACGCACCAGTGAGGGAGGGCGAGACGATCGGAGGGGTCCCGTACCATGCGGAATCGACCCTATCAAGTGCTCAAGTGCTCAAATAGCTGGAGATGCAAAGCATACCCAACCCCCTGAGCTGCGGGCTTTTTGCACGGCTGAGCCCCCCCCCCCCCTCCCCTGCGCTCATTCCCTGCCCTCTCCCACCACACACTCCGTCAGAGCCCCCACCCCTCTCGCACAACAGGAATTTTGACAATTAACCAGTTGTGATGCGAGGCGCTATCTCTCAAGATGGAAGCAGGAAGCGTCCATCCCGGCGGTGGTTCGAATCCACAACAAGCCGAGGGGTGATGGGGGGGAGTGGCCTGAGGTCTGAAGCTCACCCATTGAGGAAGTGAGAACTGCTCGGCTCACCCCTGATCCTGCTGAACAAGCTCCTCTTGTAGCTCGATCGGTCACACCGCCATCGCCGACGGGGAGAGGGGGGACGACACACACTGCCTCTGCAGCGTGCATGCACCTCGATCCTGCACCGTGTTTGTTATGACCCCCCCCCAATGAACACACCAGTGAGGGAGGGCGAGACGATCGAGGGGTCCCGACCCCATGCGGAATCGACCCTATCCAGTGCTCAAGTGCTCAAGCTGCGGGCGTCGGCCGTTCCTCGGTTCAGCGCGTTGCGCGCGTCCGGTCGGCGATTTTTCGGACAGAACAATGCGCCCGGCGTACGCCCTCCTCCTCTCGAGCACCACGCATGCGTGCACCATGTACGGCGTCGGCCGCCTCGCGAGCGCCGACGGCACCACCCTCGTCTCCCACAGCGAAGATTCCGGACCGAACCCAGACGTGCGGCTCTCCTATGTGCCGCCGGCAACGCACAGCCCGGGCGCAATGCGCTCAGTCTACACGGTTGAGCCGTCGCAGGGCGCCTTCCCAAAGTTTATTGGTAGCGCCCTTGGCGAGACCTTCCTGCCGCTGCCCGGCCAGAAGCCGACCGCGGAAATCGGTCGCATCCCGCAGGTCGCACTCACCCACGGCTACTACGTCGACAGCTATGCGACCCAGAACGACTGTGACCTCAGCTTTGGCGAATCGACCGCGTCGGCAGTTTTCCGTGCCGACCCGGTCGGCCTGCCCGGCGGCACTTCTCTCTTCTCGATCAACGAGCTGTCCAACATCGCAGCGGAGAGGGTCTGCTCGGCTCGCGAGGCGGTGTCTTTGATGGGAGCCCTCGCGGAGAAGCACGGCTTCTACGGCGCCGATGGCGGCGCCGGCGAGATGCTGATGGTGGGCGACCCGAGGGAGGTTTGGATGTTCCACATCCTGTCGGACCCGACCGCCAAGTCGGCCATCTGGGTGGCGCAGCGAGGTGAATCGCCGCGCAGCGCACCACGACGGCCCCTCCACTTCATCCCTCACTCTCCTCCGCCCGCGCCGACCTCTCCACTTCATCACTCATCTCCTCCGCCCGCGCCGACCTCTCCGCTTCATCCCTCACTCGCCTCCGCCCCGCCGACCCCTCCACTGCCGCCCGTTCAGTGCCGGACGACGAGGTGGCGGTGGCGGCGAACCATTTCATGATCCGCGAGGTGGACCTCGACGACCCCGACTTCTTCCTCGGCTCGCGCAACATGAGCGCAATCGCGCTGGCGCACGGCCTGTGGGATGGACAGGGCAAGCTGGACTTCACCGCCGCCTTCTCACTCGGCGAGTACGGCAACAAGTACTATAGCGGCAGGCGGGTGTGGGACGGCTACCGCCGCTTCAAGCCGTCCCACCACCTCCCGGCGACCTACGAGAGCAAGGCGGGCCCGTGGAGCGGCCTTCAGGAGAGCCGGCCGTACCCGTTTTCGCTCAAGCCCGATGCGCCGCTCTCCGTGCAAGACCTCTTCGCAGCGCACCGCTCCCACTACGAGGGAACTCCGTACGACATGACCAAGGGGGCGGCGGCCGGCCCCTTTGGGTCGCCGGACCGCTACGCGCCTGGAAAGGTGGTCAAGGGCGCGTGGGAGCGCTCGGTGGCCATCTACCGCGCCTCCTTCACCTGGGTCGTGCAGGCGGGAGGCGGGGCGTGCGGATGCACGGGAAGGATCTGGCTCGGAATGGCCGACCCATCCACGACCGTCTTTGCGCCTCTGAGCGTCTGCACCGGCGCCGCGCCACCGGAGATGTACACGCGGGGCGGGCCGGGCAAGGTGGATCGCAAGTCAATCTACTGGGCGCACCGCTACACTCAGAACCTCGCGCAGATCCGGTACTCCGCAATGATCGTCGACATCCAGGCGCACGCGGAGCGGTGGGAGGAGCAGGGCGTGAAGCTGGTTTCTGCACTGCGTTGCCAGACTGGCCGCGCGCTCAAGAAGGCGCTGGATGGCCTCTCGGGCGACATTCTCGCGTCGAGCTGGGCGTTGACTGACGAGCTGATGGGAAAGTTCGCCGACGGGGCCGAGGCGGTGCCAAAGCCGATGGATGCAACGGGGGCGACGGTGGCGGCGAGGAGCCTCGGCTACACGGCAGAGTGGTTGGCCGACGTGCGCTTCGCGGACGGCCCCGAGAAGATCGCGGGTCACATGGCGCACGAGGCGGGGCCGGGATGGCTCGAGCGGCAGCGGCGCGAGGCCGGCGACGACCTCGCGCTCGCTCTTGCGCGTGAGGCCACCAGGGCGGCAGCGGCGGTGCCCACGGCTCTCCTCGCCAAGCCGAGCGGGCCTGGCCCGGGGGAGCAGCCTGTGGCGGCGTGGATAGCGGCCGCAGGAGTCGCCCTCGCCGCCCTTGCTGCGCTCGCGGTCGTCCAAATTGCGAGGGCGGGGCGCCGCGCGAGCTCTGCTCACGCGCGGCCGCTCGCTCCAGCACGGGACGAGTCCAGCTACGTCGGCCTGGCCGCACACGCTTAGGCTTCCACACACACAGACCTCACAGCACACAGGTTCGGGGACCCTAGTGATGTCCACTCCCTATATGCACCGCCACTTCATAAAATCGCTGGGTCGCTTCAGTTCACGATCGACCGGCTCGTTCGTGCTTCGATTTTTTGTGTGAGAGAGAGAACACGTGGGGGGGGGGGGGAGAGTGCGGCGTGGGGCTGTTCCCATCGGGATCGGGACGGCGCCCCCCGGTGTGCGCAGTGTGAAGCCATCCCCCTGGGCGGGCGAACCCCGTCTTCGGTTTCGTCGTCCATAGTGCACTATCAAACCCCGAACCCGAATAAAAAACCATGTCCCCCCTCGTATTGGTAGTTTCAAGAGTTTCAACGCGCGCTCGCGTCTGCTGGCCCCCAGAGAACATGGCGCACCACACGTGCTCCCGGCGGAGCCCAGCTGTTGCTCGTGCTTGGATGCTCTCGACAAGGCACAATCCATCCACTCGCGCGCAGACGGCGCAGGCACAGCGCGCACTGCCACTGGCGGGTGGCGCACACAGCTTGGCGCACCGCAACCCCGTTTTGGAATTTCGGTGAAAGTTTCGGTGAGCGATGCATATTGCAAGGAAAGTAGAGGACAACATGCAGTGGAGAAGAGAGAGGTGCGTGCGATTACTGACGTACTTACGTAACGGCGTCGCAGGAGTGCGCTCCCGGTACACGGAGCTCCACGGCGCGCTGCGTTGTCACACAGCTCTCTCACGCGTGCCAAGCGGCGAGCGAGCGAGGAGGCCGTGGGCCGTGGGGCGCTGCCCCTCACTCATGCCCGCGCGGCCACCTCCGCCCGGGCCTTCTCGAGGTCCGCCTCGCGCATCGCGCCCTTCAGCTCCACCACCTGGTCGAGCGCGTCGCCGAGCAGCCCCTTGGCCACGCCCACGTCGCGCAGCTGCTCCACGCCGCCGCTCGCCCGCACCTCGGCGGCGTGGTCGGCCACGTAGCGGCGGCACTGCGCGAGGAGCCGCCCGTCGCCCATCGTGTGCGCCACCTCGAGCAGCGGCACGGCGGTCGCCGGCGCGACGCTCTCCTGCAGCGCCTGCGCGCAGAGCAGCTCGAGGCGCGGCACCTGGTACATCTGCGCCAGCTCCCGCAGGTCGAGCGCGCGCTGCGCCCTGCCGCCCTCCTCCTCGCCGAGGTCGAGCTCGTCGGTGCAGAGGTAGTCGATGAGGGCGGTGAAGCTGGCGAGGCCGGTGTGGGCCACCGTGACCTCGGCGGCGTCGCGCTCCTTCATGCCGATGCCAAACATGGTCCGAAGGACCGGGGACCGAATGCAGAGCACGTTTTTGCTCACGTGCTCGATGCGCTCCCGATCGTCGCCGACCAGGAAGGTGACCATGCCCTGCGGGAGGGTGGCGTCGCCCCGCATCTTCTTCATGTCGGCCGAAAAGGTGGAGGGCGGAACGACGATCGGGGCAAAGGAGGGAGGCGGAGGAGGCGCCGCCACGCAAACCTGGCGGAGGCCACCTCTCGAACCGACCAACAGCGTGCTGCCGTCGGAGCTGATGGCGACTTTAGTTGGCCTGTCGAACTCCGCCGCGTCGCCAACGCCATCGGCGCTGCCACTGGTGCCACTGCCCGCGATCGTCGTCACCTCTCCCGTCGCCACCTCCACCCGCCGGATCTTGTGGCTGCATTGGTCCGCCACAAATAGCGCGCCGCCGTCTGGGCTGATGGCCATACCGTAGGGGAAGCAGAACTCCGACGCTTCGCCCACGCCATCGGCGTCGCCCTCGTCGCCGCTGCCCGCGATCGTCCTCACCTCTCCCGTCGCCACCTCCACCCGCCGGATCTTGTGGTTGCGGTAGTCCGCCACAAACAGTGCGCCGCCGTCCGGGCTGATGGAGATGCCAATTGGGTAGCAGAACTGCGCCGCGTCGCTGACGCCATCCGCGTCGCCAGCCTCGCCGCCTCCAGCGAGCGTGGCCACCGCGCCAGTCGCCACCGCAACCCGCCGGATCTTGTGGTTGTAGTGGTCCGCCACAAACATCGCGCTCCCGTCCGGGCTGATGGCGATGCCAGTTGGGGCGCAGAACTGCGCCGCGTCGCCGACGCCATCCGCGTCGCCTACCTGGCCGCTGCCCGCGAGCGTGGTCACCGCGCCAGTCGCCACCTCCACCCGCCGGATCTCGTGGTTGCGGCAGTCCGCCGCAAACGCCGCGCTCCCGTCTGGGCTGGCAGCAATGCTGTTGACTTCACCTGCCGGCAAGGCTGCCACGCGGCGCACGCGCCCGGCCGGCGAGACGTGCAGCAGCGAGTCCTTCGTCGAGACGTACCAGGCGCCTGCGTGGTCGCTTGCAACGCCAACCTCACCGAGCGATGCCAGAGGGCCGTCCTCACCCTCGAGCGTCAGCGTGGAGACCTGTCCGAGGACGCGCGCGCCAAAGATGGGCGCCTCGAAGCCATCCGCGACCGGCACGGGCTCGTCCCCGTCCTCGCCGCCGCCGGTGCGGGCGCGCTTGCGGGCGGCCGCGGACGCCATTGCACCGCAAACAACCAACGCTGCTGGATTCGGGCCACGGCTTGTGGGGAAGACGCGGTGACGCAATTGCCCGAGGAGGACGGCGGCGCGGCGCGCTTGCTGACTCGGGACGCCATTACCCGCCCAACCAGGCTGGATTCGGGACAAAAAGAAACAAAGAAACAAAGAAACAAAGACGGAGGGAGGGATGGGAGGACCGACCGAGGACGGCACGCTGCTGGCGAGCCGCGGCGCCAGCCGTCGCTCGAGAGAGCGGCGCCGCTGCGAGCGCGCAGCAGCCGCCGCGGCAGAGACGAGCCGCGGCGACGGCCGCAACTTATAACTGCCATTGGCGGTTAAGAGATAGTGACATGCAACGCGTCTGTTCACAGCTAAAAGAAGAGTAAAAACTCGTGCTATGGCGGCGCTCGACATAATCGTCGTGCGCCACCCAGATGGCACCCTCTGCTCCAGCGACTGGCGGGTGGTCTTTCGCAGCGCCGTGCCGGAGGTCCGCGTCTCCATCAACGGCACCGCTCTGCCTGAGCGGATGCGTGCGGCCGCCGCCGACGCGCCGGCGCAGTTTGGAGACGGTGACGCAGAGACGCCGCGGCTGGTTCCGTCCGAGGCGACGCTCCGGGCGCTGCTCGAGAGCGGTGCGATGCTTCCCGGCCGCAACGCCATCTCCTACACGCCCGCGATGGGCGGCAAAGGCGAGGGAGGCGAGGGCTCGCACGGCATCGGCGACGGCGCGGCGCACAGCGCAGTGGCGCACCTTCACCTCTGGGAGTCGTCGACGGCGGCGGTCGTCTTTGACGTGGACGGCACGGTCACGCAGGCAGACATCTCTGGCCACATCGGCCAGCAACTCGGCGTGCCGCTCCTGCACCGCGGCGTCTGCGAGCTGGCGTGCCGGCTCGAGGCGCGTGGGTATGCCGTCTTCTTCCTCTCCGCGAGGCCGCTCGCCGGCCCGACCGGCATCGCCTCCACCCGCCACTTTCTCTTTCGCGTCGCACGCGACTCGCCCTCCGGATTCGGCGCGCGCCAACAACCAAAGCCGGCCGCACAGACCCGTCCACGGCATGCCCACGGCATGTCCACGCCGCGTCCGCAGGCCTCCCGCCCTGCCCGGTGCTCACCACGCCGCACACCTCGACGCTGAGTGCGCTGATGGACGAGGTCGTCCTCAAGGCGTCCGCCAGGCGTCCGCCCAGCCCTCTGCCCCTCGCCACCTCAACCTCTCCGCCCAGCCCTCCTCTCCCCCCTCCCAGCCCTCCTCTCCCCCCTCCCAGCCCTCCTCTCCCACCGCCCAGGTTCAAGGCCGACACACTCCGCCGCATCGCCTCCCTCTTCACGCCTCCGCAGCCAGCCTCTACTGCGGCAGCCGCACTGCCGGGCGACAGCGCTATTGCAGACGCCCCCACTGCCGCCGCCGCCACCGCCGCCACCGCCACCGCTACCGCCGCCACCGCGACGTCCCCGGCCTTGGAGGCTTGCGGGGCGGTGTCGCCTTGCCGCGGCGGGCTGTACGCCGGCTTTGGGAACCGCGCCAAGGACGCGACTGCGTACCTCTCCGCCGACATTCCTCCCTCGCACGTCTTCATCATCAACGCCAAGTCGCGAGTGGCGCTCTGGAGCCAAGGACACGGCGGCGGGCGCCAGCGGGGCGGGGAGGGGGTGCCCACCGGAGGCAGCGGCGGAGGCGCGGCCGCCGCCGAGGAGCGCCTCGCCGCCGCCGCCGCAGGTGCGACGAGGTGCACGCCCTGCTCGTGCTTTCTCGGCACGCTGCTCTAGCCGCGAGCCAGCGCGAGCCGGGGGCGGAGGGAGGCGCGTACTCGCTGCTTCGGCCTCCTCCTCCTCCTCCTCCGCCGCCGCCCAGCTGGTTTGGGGCGGCGTTTGCGGAGGCATCCGCCGCCGCGACGGCGGCGGCAGCTTCGGCGGCGGCGGCGCTCGGCGTACCCTCCGCGGAGCGCGGGGCGGACGCCGATGCAGGGTGAAAGGTGCGGCTTGGTGCTGTTCACGAGAGAGCAGCCTGTGGCGTTTTTTCCTCGTCCGCTCTGTCTTCTGATATCTGATATCGGTACGTATATATCACGCAGCCGCACCCCACAGGCGGGGCCGCACACAACACGCACACACACACCCACATTTTTCTGAGAGTTCCGATCGGGCGAGCATGACGGCCCTATCTACCCCGGTCACTGTCAGTGCGTCGCGGCTTTGCTCCTGGTCCTGCTGCTGTGAGCCCCCGGCCCCGCTCGGCGCGAGGGAGAGGTGCCACAGTCACTCGCGGCGAGGCATTCGCGTCGCCGCGTCCACCTCTCCCACACAAACGGCGTCCCCCACTGCAGGGCGTGCGTGCGACTGAGGGCGCGCCGGATGGCGCAGTACTGCGGCACGATCGTCCGCACGCCGTCGCCGGGGTAGTTGTGCGTCCCAAACTGAACGACGCCGAAGCGCTGCGCGAGCGCGCTGCGGGCCGTGAGAGAGGAGAGAAGCTCGTACTCGCAGCCCTCGCA